TAATCAGGTCATCAGAATAAACTAAAGAAAAAGAATATTAGGCCAACCTAATATACTAATAAACTGATTATAGTTCTATATATATTATCTGAATTAGAAGTCTGAACAAAAGATAAGAGAATACTAATATACTAAAGTTATACTATAAAATAGATATTAAAGTTCAAGTAAACTCTACAAGGACATAGCAGTTAAATAATATAACTCTAACTACAATTGTTGGTTCTGATATAGCAATATCTAGGTTAACTATAAAAATAGATACAAAAGACTTTAAAAAATTTACTTTGAGAATAAAATAATCCTAAGATTAAAATGATGATCTGGACATCTAGGTATAATCTAGTAATATTAATACAGATTGCAGATTTAGAATATTTAAAGTAGAACACTCAAGCAAAAGTGTTAGATATAACAATTAATGAAAAACCTTCAGATAGACTTTTTAAATAGATATTATAAAAAAGTTACATGTGTAGTTTTTTTTTTCAATATTAAGGTGAGGTTATGCCCTTTAGTCTTTATTAGTATATTTGTTACAGCTAGTACAAATCTATTATACATTGTCTATCACTATATATCTATTCAAACATAGGACTCTGACATATTTATCTGCAACCTAAACCAACCAGAGTTTTGTATTGTGTCCTACTCACACCTAACCTGAATTTTTGTTTCACTACTAATTATATTAGATAATCTATATATTCCTTCCATATCTTATAACCTATTTTTACAACTCCCAAATTGGTCTACTAAGTCGTTTACTCCTTTTGAACTACTATTTTTGGTTTGCCTGAAGAGTGCCTCTCTAGCATGTATCTCAAGCCAGGTTTCTGCTGCTGCTGCTAACTTCCCAATTCAGGTACTGGTAGCATATATTTCAAGCCAGGTTCCTGCTGCTGCTACTGGTTTGCAACCCTTCTTAGTCTTAGCATTATTTCTAATGGATTGTGCATCTAACCTGCTCTTTAAGTACTCCCTTTTATGGTATAGATGGAACTCTATTTCAGGGATGAGTACACATTCTCTTCCAGCTATTGACTGACATTTCCACTACTGTTACACCATGCTGCAAGTTTTTTTTTATTCTGTTTTTAACCACAGGCAATCTCCCTGCCTTTTTAAGAACATCCTAGCCCGAATCTACATTTAGACTAAGGTGTCTACATCATATTCAAATAGGTTTCTACTTCCAATTTAGGTATCTCAACCATGATTGGTACAGCATTTATGTTGGTATGTTCTACTTGTTTTGCCATAAGCTTCCATATAGATGTAACTAGAGCTCCAGTTTGAAACCTTTAGATGTACAGGACAGGCTACAACTTCTCTATGTAGATGGTTACCTTCTATTTTTAGTCATTCCATAGTGCCAGAGGTGCTTCTAATCTTGATAAGGCTAATTCTTTGTCACAAACCTTCTATGCATGCATAGCTTCTCTCACTACTCCAGTTCATGTTACCTTGGTATTACCCTCCCAATCAAGTACTCTACAAGTTGAATGCAGAGATGTTGGTACTGCCCTGTCTCCAGAGGACTTACATGCACAACCTTTTTATGTAACGGAACTTTCTGTGATGCTGCTGTCACATATAGTGCCCACACTCTGCAAAGTTGATTTTTTTCTAGGAATTCTTTTTTCTGTCATATACTGCACTTGGACTTGACCACAGAGCTTTATGTTCAATTACAGGCTCCTTATTGGTTACAGAAGCTAAAATCTTTCGATTTTGCTCCCAGCCAGACTTGAACCATTGACCTTGACTGTAGAAGTATAGGAGCTTAACCATTAAGCTATGGGACTCACACTCTTTATATATATAGTTAATTATATGCTTTTCTATAGTAGTTTATAGAATTATATTACCAAAAAAGTCATTAATAAAAGTTAAAAGACCAAAGAGATTATCTTAAAAAAAAAATTTTTTTATATAAGAAGTGTAATAACCTAATAAAGTGATTAAGTTGTCAATTCTTAAGTAGTAGCTTGGATATTCAAATTTCATTAACAACAAAAAAATTTAAATTATTATCTATATAATACTTGTATTATGATAATTGTTACTAACAATTAAATTAAAATACTTCTAATAACAATTGTATTAGCATAACTAACAGATCATAAAGTATCTATATAAGTATAACTTTGTACAAAGAAATGCTAACTGATAATTAGATAATGCAAATACTAGATAAATTCTTATAACTGTATAAATTTGTTGAAATTAGATAACAAGAAATTTATTTGAAAAAACCTAAATAAAAAGATAGTTAGATCTTTGATGACTCTACTATAAAGATTAATTTTATAAAACAAATACCAAAATTATAATACTTAAATAGATAAGAACCTTCAGATTGGAAGGTTTGGAAATACTATTAATTAGATCACTGAAATAAACTAGAAAAATATATTAAACCAATCTGATATATCAATAAACTGGTCATAGTTCTATATAAACTATTTGAATTAGAAGTTTCAAAAAAATAAAAATAAATAAATAAATAAAAAGTTTTATTAGAATTGTAAGATTTCATTATAAAAAGTTTTATTAGGATTGTAGGATTTCACTATTAAAAATAATCAAAATCATCTTGTTTTAGAGAAGTTAACATGTTAATAACTCAATTTTATCTATTTTTAAAAAGTTACTATTATGCTAACTTCTCTAAAACAAAAAAAAATTTTGATTATTTTTAATAATAAAGCCTTACAACTTTGATAAAACTTATATATATATTTTTTTTTTGTTTATTTTTCATAGGTTTATTTTTTTAAAAAGTATTTTAACTATAAATAATATAAAATTAAATTGATTTAAATAGCTAATTATACAAAAGTCTTCCTATAAGTTGAAAGGTAGTCTTGAGCATATTGTTTATCATATATAATTTGAAAACTTTAGTACCAAATTAATTAGTAAGGGTGTGACGACCTAGTGAAGTAATCAGATTGTCAATCCTCAAGTGGTAGGTCCAGAGTTCAAATCCTAGTATTGACAAAAAATTTAAAAATCCTTTCTGTATTACAGTTAACTGTCTCTCGCAATTGGTTGGGATAAGACACCTGTAATCTATGTCACACTAACATGACTGGCAGGTCACATAATATTTGTATAACAGTCACATGATATTGTTCTTTGGAACAAGGTCTGTGGTTATATGAAGAAATACAAACTGGTACTAGGTGGTGCAAATCTATAATAAGTTCTTGTGGCTATATAAATCATAGAAACCAATAGAAGAAAAATAGAAACCTACTTGGAAGACCTAAGTAATGAGGTAATCTGAGCTTTTGATAGTGCTATTGTAAAGACTAGACTTATAAAACAGAACTAGAAATTATAAAACTGGGCAAATGTGCTGGTCTTTGAGGAAGGACCGGATGAATCAACTAGGCTGCTGGAATTTTTTGGGTTTCAAAGAAAAAGGATACATGTTAGTAAACATATAAACCAGAAGTGTATGATTTTGACCTACCTTTCTGGACTATCTGAAATGACAACTTAATAAAACTTGAATTGAATACCAAAGTAGTAAAGATATATTGTGAAGTAAATACTAAGTTTGGAATGAACTCTATAAGAACATAGTAATTTAATGATACATTCTAACTGCTAGTGTTGATCTTAGCTATAGCGATATCAGATCAACTATAAGAATGAGATATAGAAGATTCTGAAAGGTTTAGTACAAGATCAAAGATTCAAAGAACTGTTTTAAAGACTTAGTAACTATGACATATTTTTACTAACATTGACTGAGATCTTTGGTAGACAAAGATAAGTAGATAAATATGAAAACAAAGTGATTAAATAAGGAATCTACAAGTGGGTTTCAAGTATGGCAGCTAGTATAGAACCTTCGGGCAGACTACTTAAATTAGACAATAACTAAAGTTGTATGAGTGGCTAGTTGTACACTTTCTCCATGGTTGCCCCCTGTGGTTGTAAAGCAATCATTAGCCAAATATACTATCAATAAAATCCTGGGTCACAAGTACTTACCTTAATATTAAAAAAAAAAAAAGCAAATTAATTAGTGAAAATTTTTTTGTTTTTTGAGAACATAAATTGATAATTTTTATATTATAAAAATTTTAATGTTAATAATAATAATAATAATAAAGAGAAATTAATTATATATTTTTATATATATCAGAACACAAATTATAAAATTATGTTCTTAGTTGGTTCTCAAAAGAGAACATAAATTTTAAATGCAGTGTTCTCAAAATTTTTTGAGAACATCGAACATTAGATATCAAACACTAGTGTCAATGAACATGCACCTTCGTTCGGTTAGCTCGATGAAAGACATCGTCACAACCCGCTTTTTACATTTTTTTTCACATTCTCCGAATTTCGCAACACTATATGCATTACCCACTCTAATAAATTGAGGATGATATATTTAGTGGAAACGGATTCGGAATTTCTAACATATATACTAGTTTGTTTTCGCGCATCGAAAAGATTTTACATAAGCTAAACGATTCATTCCCATATTTAATCAATTTCAATTGTGTAATGGTGATTTAACGCAGATTATTCTATTGTGTGCGTTTTACACAACCATCGGTATTTCGGATTAGAAATCAATTATCATCACATGTGATTTTTAAGTTAACCTTCTGGTGACTTTAGAGAAAGAAAATCACACGTTTATAACTAAGAACTTAGTATACAATGTCCTCCAAAAACTTCTATATAGTACAAAATTTATGTTTACAAATAAACTGCCATTTACTTCAAAATGTTATTGGCCACTTTAGTCACACTGATCAAAATAGGCTTTGTGAAACTGCGGTTATATGTCACGTGTAACTAAGTAATCACACAAATTAGCCCATATGCATGTCAATGTTCTTGGTATAAAGTAAATGAAGTAAAAGCGTAGCGTCTGTTGTAAACTAGGCCTTTTTCTTTTCTCCTTTCTGAATTTCAGTTGCTGCGAACATATATCACTACCTTTTTTACAGTAAAGTTATTTCGATATGGATAGAATTGACATGAGTCTGGACGACATCATCAAGACCAACAAAAAGAAATTAAAACAAGGAACAAAAGTCATCGCTAACAGCAACAATGGAAATGCAAACAACAGCAGCCTTAACAATAAGAACAGAACAGGACCCATTAGAGCTAGATCTGCAGGGAAAAAATTGACTCGACAGAAGGCCAACCCATATCCGGTAAGAATCCAAACAGCTTCGTAAGGAAATACTGGGAAAATACTAGTTGATCGAGTTTTGGTCGACAAATGGGCAAAACACGTCATACTGTTCTCCCAGAAGAAACGTCGAAACATTATTTTTGGGTCTTTTGCGTTCTTCCTGACGGGGTTTCGCAAATTGGAACATGTACAAGACTGATCAAACCCAACTACGGCTGTTTTGATACCTTGCCACCTTCCATCCATTCAGAAACCAAAAATTATTAAAACAGGAAACTCTAACGGCGTTTGGCGTCACGATCTCTTCCCTACCCTTCTTCCTGGCAGCAACCAAACCAAACGAACCGGTCCGTTTAATGGGTCTTCTATTCAGCACCGCTTAGGCACCGGTAAACCCCCTGTAGGTAGTGGTGTTACGAGCAGATTGTCTATTAAAGGTGTTGCCGGTGTTAAGCAGTCTGAATTCTCCTTCAAAGGTGAAGGCGGACCCGCCTCTATTGTTATCAGTAATTTAGCACCTGGTACAAGTGCTAATGATATCAAGGTAAAGTGAACTTTAAAACGTTGAAACATATATTCTAAAAACAAATAAATAAGGGTAATTTTACAGGCATTCTAACAATTTAAATTTAATTATTTTAGACTGTATTTATGGAATTTGGCGATATTTCTACGGTGAACATGAAAGAAGAAAGACACTTCCGTGGAGCGCCTGTAACTGCCGAGCTCACCTTCGAAAGCAAGGCCTCTGCACTTGCTGCTATAAATAAATATAACACAGCTCTAGTAGATGGTAATAAACTTTAGTGTAATAGATTTTATTTTTATTTTTATTTTATTTTATTTTTTTGATACATAAAATGGTAATTGAATTTCTATGTCTTTTTTTAAGGTCGTGTGCTTAAAGTTCAATTTAAGCAATCTAATACCAATACTGGTGCTGCTTCATACCGAATGAGAAACAAATTCAAGCCACAGCTTGCCGCTTCCACGCAGTAAGTGATAAGCATACTTGCTTACATTTATTCTCATTCGACTAATTCTCGTTTAACTGTTTTAAATATTTTATCTTTATATATAGAAATGGAAGGCTTTATTCCGACCAATTGGTTTCTGGTATCCAAAGGAATAGACGTTCCGGTGGCAAGGGAAAACAGCCTTCTTTTACATTTTAAATATAAGGATTCTAGAGTATTTCCGAGTTCATTGCTTCGACCGGAGCGAATTCAATGTGATTTTAACAGAGCGTAATGGATAAATGGAACAATTACAAATAATGCTCACGTATTTAGTTGGTTGGTGGTTGGGTTTCTCCCTTCCCTTGAAGTATTATATTTTTCCTTCCATTCAATTTCTATCTTTTTTTTTTTTTTTTTGACACACGTATATATATATATTATTATCGTATGATTATTTTTTTACTTTGCATGACGGATATTTTAGAATAAGCCAGATCGCAAAGAGTGCAAGATGCTTCGATATTTTATCATTTCCCAAATGTCATTATAATTTGGTTAGAATGCTCGTTCATTGACCATTTAATAATGTCAGCAAAAACCATATCCAGGATTATTTTCTTTCTGTTAATAAAAAAATGTGATTCTTAAAACCTTTAAAACCAAAAACTTACACTGAAACTGACATCCAGTGACCGAACATAATGCCACCACCCGGGCTTTTTGACAAATTAAATTAGTAATCTAGAATTAATCCGTTATAAAAGATACCTAATAAATGAGTAACTTACAGGAATATATAATAATTCACTAGGTCTTAAAATGCATTCTTGATATGATGCAGAAGAAAATAGTGGAAATCGTTCAATATCAGGGTTCTCAACTTCAACCTTTGTTTCAATTTATAATTTGATATAATCAATATAGGGAATTGTAGCCCAGAATTTTGATATTACCAACCTGGCTCGTGTTACCTAAAAGACCATCCTGTTCAAAAGAGTACAATTTAGGAGTTTCACTTGGTGAATATAATCTAATATATTTTTGTCCAACAACTTGAGCCAAAAGATTATGATAAGGATCCGTGTGCATTGGTGAAATAGTTCCCTTAGGTCCAAACCAAGCATTTATGATAACTTCTTGAGGTGGAGAATATTGGATATCTCCGTAACTAGAATCGTCATCTTTCCCAATGCTCGTGATAAATGGCTTGGTATCTACAAAGCAATAATCAGGAACTACAATATCATCTTTTAAGCGCGGAACTTGCGCGAACAAGTCATGTTGAGCTAAATAAGCGATATCAACACCATCATTGGTGGAATTTTTAACCCATTTTTCAATGAATTCGCCAAAATTCATTAATTTTTGTGTCCATGTTTCGTCAGTATACTTGGCTCCAATTTCTACAGGGACTATTCGTTCTTTTCCGATTATATTCGAAAGATAATCGAGATTGCTCCAAGGTCTTGTCGAAAGTGCTGGCCAATCTGATATACTGGAACAAATTATAAAAGGAGTGGGATTTACTGACGTAATATGCGATGCAAAAGTAACTAAACTGGGTTGTGATATTTTTGGCAACGGATTATTTATAATTGGTATGCTAACTCTATCCATTTCAGTTTTGGACTTTTTATGAGCTATATTTTTTATCGAATTGTCTTCCATAGTACGTTTAGGTGACGTAAATTGAATGCAAAATTGGTCATCTATCTGTTCAAGTTTTCTTAAGATTTTCTCTGTTTCTTCAATGAGGTTGAAAAGCATCTCTTTCCTATTGTCTCCAGGTGCACCGGTCATCACCAAAGCCATATCTAAAGTTCTTATAACTTGTTTCCATGAGTTTTTATCCTCGACATTTAGTACTAAAAAAATTTCGCATACACTTTTTAGCAGACCGGCGTCGGTATACAGCCGTCTCCAAGAAAGCGGTACATCCTTGTATGGATATGCATGCAGCTTTTCTACTGCGTAATCAACTAAAGAAGTTGCCTTTAATAGAATCATGGGAATTTCTTCAGAAGCAACACAAAATACATCTTTGAGGCATTGATAAAGTAAATAGATCGTGGCCTTGTCACATTGTACAAAATCTATAATTTTTACGCGATTTATTTCAGAATTTTGACTAACTTTAAAAAAACTTTTACAAATTACTGACCATTTTTCTCCGTGTTTGAGTCAGAATTATGAGTTTCAAGCAGTTTTGTAATAACAGAATTGCAAACTTCCTTTATTGAAGAATCCATTAAAAATACTAACCGTCAGTTAAAATTACGCGGTAACTCTAAATAATATCGAATTCCCTTATCTATTGAGGGCTGGATCAATTGCATTAGCTACAAAAAATGCGCGATTTGGATTGGCCAACGGCTTTGATCGACAAGATTCTGGCCCGTATTATACATAATTTTGGCTAGAATTAATTTGTTAATTTTTTAATTCCAAAATGGAGGTTTCACAAAAAATTAATCAAAAAATTTTTTCTATCATGATTTCTAATTCTAAAGATTTTATTATATCTGATTTTTGATAAAAATTACAGTAAGAGTTTTTTGTAAGAAAGCTATTAACTACTACTGTCAACTATGGATATAACGGAAACCTGGGCTGACCAAAAAATTCCGTTATAACAGAGTTAGTCTGGATTCCATTATAATGATTAAAAAACAATTTTTTTTGCATTCTTATTGATTGCAAGTTGTTGCATTATTACATCGATATAGATTAGAATGTTATAATAAAATCGGTATGTAAGCTGGCAAATAGTTCCGTTATACGTAATATGGCTTTTTTACTATTAAATCCGTTATAACCATCATAAATTATATATTAAAAATTCGGTTCCGTTAAACTGGTGATTTCCGGTATAAAGGTGTCCATAGTTGACAGTATTTTGATTAAGATCAGGTGGAACGCTCCACAATCAGGAAAATTCAAAACAAACGTTCGCTTTATCAAAAATCGTTTATTTCTCAAAACGTAGCATAAGAAACCACCTATAGTGCTTAACAAAAAGTTTTCCTTGCCCGATTTTATTATTAAACTTTTTTTAACCCTCACATTAGCATAGATCCTAACTCTAACTTTAAAGAATTTTTGGTTCTTACATGATTACATCTTTTTTACAATGAAAGATGATTTCTGTCGTTAGACTACATGGGCAAAAAAAAATATATCTAATAATGTATTCAGTTATGTATTATTATTTGCTAATTCAATATGAGGGTTATGTTTAGACCTGGCACATAGTGTCTTAGTTTTTTAGTTAATTCCTTAATAAGGATTATGTTTGAGACATGTAATGTTGAAATAGTATTCATGAATTGGCTTGCTTGATGTGCTTGAATATTGATTAAGAGTAAGGCACATAGTGTTGAATTGTTAATTGTTATAATATACTCAAGTATCAATCAAGAATAAGGCATATAATGTCAAAATGTTAGCAGTTGTTAGCTTTGTATAATTTATTTGAATATTATTTGTTGAGAATGATGCTAAAATTTGGATAATCATGAAATCTAGAAACCTCATTGGCTAATCATCCTAACTCTAACCAATTAGATGTGTTAATTTCATGATCATTCAATTTTTTAACATTATTTAATAATAAGACATATAATGTTGAATTGTTATTATTTATTTTTTTATTTTATTTTATTTTTTTTTTAAATATTAAGATAAGTACTTGTGACCCAGAATTTTATTGATAGTATATTTGGCTAATGATTGCATTACAACTACAGGGGACAACCATAGAGAGAGTGTACAACTAGGCACTCATACAACTTTAGTCATTGTCTAATTTAAGTAGTCTGCCTAAAGGTTCTATACTAGTTGTCATACCTGAAACCCACTTGTAGATTCCTTATTTAACTACTTTGTTTCTGAATCCATCTACCTACTTCTGCCTATCAATGATCTCAGCCGATGCTGGTGAAAATATGTCATGATTATTAAGTCTTTAAAGCAGTTCACTTATATAGAAAACCTTTGACCTTGTACTAAATCTTCCAGAATCTTCTGTAACCCATTCTTACAATTAACCTGATATCATTATGGTTGAGACTAATACTGATAGTCAGAGTATACTATTAACCCACTATATCTTTGTAGAGTTTACCCCAACTCCAATACTGATTTCATAACATATCCTTACTATTTTGGTATTTAATTCAAGTTCTACCAAGCTGTCATTCCAGATAGTTCAGAAAGATAAAGCAAAACCATACTTCTGGTTTACATGTTTGTCAATATATACTCTTTTTCTTCAGAACCTGGAAATTCTAATGGCCTGATTGGTTCATCCAGTTCGTCCTCAAAGACCGACATATTTGCTTAGTTTCACAAGTTCTAGCTCTGTTTTCATAAGTTTAGTCTTTACAGTAGCACTATTGAAGGTTCAAATTATTATTTTATTTGGGTTTTCCAAGTGGACTTCTGTATTTCTACCTGGTTCTTATGATTTACACAGTCTAAGGACTTATCTTGGGTTCACACCACCCAGTACCAGTTTGTGTTTTTTTGTACAACATTGTATAAATGCCTAGACCTTCTAGTTATATTGATATAATACAGGTTACAGGTATCTTATCTCAACCAATCACAGAAGACAGTTAGCCATAACATAAAAAGAATTGCAAATTTTCACTATTACTGAGATTTGAACTCTAGACCTGCCACTTGGAGATTGACAACCTATCTACTTAACTAAGTTGCTACACCCCTTGTTATTATTTATTTTATGTTAGTTTAAAGCATATTTTTTATAATTTATATTTGTATTAATTTTATTTTGAATAAATATTAATTTTTTTCAAATTATATAATTAAAATAGTATTTTTTATATTTAACTATTCTTTTTATAATAATTATATCTTAATTGGATACTGATTTTTTAAATTATCTATATTTTTTATATTTATTTAAAAAATAATTAAATTTTTTTTTTTTTTTTTTAGACAATTTTACTAAAATCTTTCCTATGTTCTGTTTTTTTTTCAAACTAATATTTTTAAAGTTTTTAGTTACTAAATCTCAATCTTCTTCAGTCTATGTTTTTAAACTTTTCAGAAATGATCTGTTATATCAATCCCTACTAGAATCAGAAAACTTGATCAAACTTTATTCAGAATCAGTTATTACTATGAGTTCATGTAGTATTTTTTATTATCAGACTTTTAGTCTCATATTATGTCTTATAACTTCGATTATACCAAATCAAGTTCTAACTTATATTCATTACTAGATAGTTTTTTAATCACAAATTACTTGTCTTTATTAAAAATAAATACATCTGATAACATCTCAGATCCCTAGTATTGCAGTGTTGTAGTTTTCTATTTTTAGAAATGTATTTTATAATTGCTATTACTAGAATTTGAACTGACAACCTTGTAATTTGTGATCTCAGAGCATAACTGCTATACTATCAATCTAAAGATTAAAAAATAATTATTAAATTTTTTTTTTTTTTTTTTTTTTTTTGGAGTTAAGGTGAGGTCATGCCTCAAGTCTGTTTATTCAAACATATTGTTACAG